GAATTTTCGAGTCCTTTATAGTTTAGTTTGGTATGAAAATAACACTTTACTTATCAAAGTGTCAGCCAAAGAGCAAGTCATGTTGCAGAGAGTGAAGCTGTTGCGTTAGCGTACTGACCAAGAATGTTTTATCCTATTTGTTAGTTCCCCTGATTATGGAAAAGGAAAAAAGGAAATAAATCTAACAAAAGAAATAATAATATAGTACAATGCGATAGATATGTCCAGGTTTAATGTCATAAAGATGCGGACGAGAGGTTTGAAAATTTTTTTTCTTCACAATTTGTAAGATGGATTCTATGAAATTTAATCGTCTCAAACACTTCATAGAGACTTCTTGAAAGGCGGATAGAGTGATAGCGCCACTGCTGGGTCCAACGTCTCCTCTGTTTCCCAGCACTAAATGACAGTGTTTGTGTCGATGTGCTTCTCTTTATTGAACCCAACTAGCAGAAACTGACTCCATGAAAATTGACGTGGCACTAAAAAATAACCCCTACTCCGTTAATCTTCATGGTCTGATCGTAGCTGAGTGGTTCATTTTTTGGGGACCCCTGGCTCCCAATAATAATATTACAATAATGTGAACCTTACGTTGTTGACACGGGGTTAAGGTGGGTGGACACTGGGGTGTTTTTTTTTCTTCTGTAGCTCATTGATTACGAGCATTCTAGTCGTGCGATAGCGTTTGAGGACGCGAAGTGTTTGGGCACTTAAACAATAAGTATTTTATAACTTCCTTATTCAAACACATATTTATACAGATTCGTCAATTCTGTTACCTCTATCTGAAGCTTAAAAAGGGTGGCAACAACATGCATATAACGAAATATGTACATTCTTAGTTTGATTTGTGTTTAATGGTTCCAAATGTGCCACACCATTCCCATTGCTTTGCTGCTGATCGGACATCGTATGTCCAACATGTCTGTACGTGTAACACAGCTTGCCAAGGCACAATCAAGAACAAACTTATAAAAAATAAAATAATGAAAACAATATGGAAAAAAAATCACGAGTTTACGTTACTGATACTTAAAGATCACTAAGGGGCTCTCGTGGCCTAGAGGTTAAGGTGTTGGCCTCTCATTCAAAGGTCCCGGGTTCGATTCCGGGTAGCGACCAAAACATTTTCTTCTCTAAAATTGTCTCCTTTCACATCCTTTCCTGATCTCTAACAATGTTCTGTTGTCTGCTTTCATTTCCACTTTCTGCCCCCACCC